TAAAGATTTTATTTATTTATTTGACAGAGAAAGACACAGCGAGAGAGGGAACACAAGCAGGGGGAGTGGGAGAGGGAGAAGCAGACTCCCTGCCGAACAGGGAGCCCGATGCGGGACTCGATCCTGGGACTCCAGGATCATGACCTGAGCCGAAGGCAGTCACTTAACCAACTGAGCCACCCAGGCGCCCCCCATTTTTTTTTTTAAGATTTTATTTATTTATTTGACAGAGAGAGAGAGATCACAAGTAGGCAGACAGGCAGGCAGAGGGAGAGGGAGAAGCAGGCTCCCTGCTGAGCACAGAGCCCGATGTGGGGCTCGATCCCAGGACCCTGGGATCATGACCTGAGCTGAAGGCAGATGCTTAACCATCTGAGCCGCCCAGGCGTCCCTAGAAAAAAATTTTTTTTAAAGATTATTTATTTGGGGGAGAGAGAGAAAGAGATCACGAGCAGGCGGGGGGGGGGAGGGTAGAGGGAGAAGCAGACTCCCCGCTGAGCAGGGAGTCTGATGCAGGACTCTATCCCAGGACCCTGGATCATGACTTGAGCCAAAGGCAGATGCTTAACCGAACTCACCCAGGCGCCCTGTTTTCAATTTTTTTGAGGAACCTTCATACTGTTTTCCATAGTGGCTGCACAGTTTTGCATAAGCATCATTATTTGTCTATGTATCTAATAAGGGATAATATCATCAAGAAGATAAGAGATAATGAGTGTTGGAGAGGATGTAATGCGAAGGGAGTAAACACTTCTGCTCTGTTGGTGTGAATTTAAATTGTGCAGCCACTATGGAAAAGAGTATGGAGGCTCCTCATAAAATTAAAAATAGAACTATCATATGATCTAGCAATTCCATTTCTAGGTATATATCCAAAAGAAATGAAAACAGAATATCAAAGAGATATTTGCACTTCCATGTTTATTACAGCATTACTCACCATAGCCAAGATGTGGAAACAACTAAGTGTCTGTCAACAAATGAATGCATAAACTAAGTGTCTGTCAACAAATGAATGAATGCAACAAATGAATGGGATATATATATATATCTCACATATACATAAACACGATGGAATATTCTGCTATAAGAAAGAAGGAAATCCTGCCATTTGTGTCAACATAGATGGACGTTGAGGGCCTTGTGCTAAGTGAAATAAGTCAGGCAGAAAAAGATAAAATACTGTATCATGTCACTTATATGTGCAAACTAAAAAAGCCAAACTAGCAGAAACAGACTTGAATGATGGTTACCAGGGTGTGGGGGTGGGAAATAGGGAGCTATTGGTCAAAGAGTACACACTTGGAATTAGAAGATGAATGGGGGTGCCTGGGTAGCTCTGTTGGTTAAGTGTCTTGATCTCAGGATCCTGAGTTCAAGCCCTGCTTTGAGCTTGACGCTGGGTGTGGAGCTTACTTAGAAAAGAAAAAAGAAGATGAATGAGTTTTGGGGATCTAATGCACAGTGAAGTGATTATAGTTAACAATTTGTTTTATGTACTTGAAAGTTGCTAGGGGAGTAGATCTTAAATATTCTTACTGCTAAAATTAAATGGGAATTTTGTGAAATAATGTTTTTAGCTAACACTGCAGTGGTAATCACATTGTAATATATGTGTATCCAATCAACAGGTATACACCTTCAACTTATACAATGTTAGAAGTCAATTATATCTTAATAAATCTGGAAAAAAAGCAACAGGGGAGTTCTTGGTAGAGATTCTAACTACAATAAAAAGGGTAAAGTTCTTAAGTCCAGTTAGGTTCTCATTATCCATTACCTGGAATATTACCTGGAACCACTTTAAACCTGCCTTACCTACTTTTGGGGGAGATGGTGGGTAGTGGGGAATTTATGCTGAGAGAACAAGAAATGACAAAGGGTTTGAGAGTAAGATTTTAGCCCCAAACTCCCAAATTCTGAGTAGTTGATCTATAGAGCTTGTAATAATTTATGCATTCTCTGACTCAGATTTGATGGTAGCTTTTGCTCTGCTGAACCTACTTTATGAGGCACTTGATAATGTGTTGAAGAGAGGTTTGCTGAGCTATTTGTCCTTGCCTATTTTTCCCTACCACCAGCAAATCAGTTCCGTTAGGGTGGAGATAGCATTGGTACTCTAGTATCCATTGAAGGGATTTGAATTTATAGCATTGTTTTTAAGAAAACTATATTTTAAGCTCCAAGTAACTAAGGTATAAGCAAAGCTCTGAGAAACTATAGTCACGTAAATTGATTATTACTTGAAAGTATTACCATCTTCAGCTGTTTAAAACAAACATCTCTTGGGGATTCTTGGGTTAATTATCCATTGTTTTTGTGCTTACAAATTTTTTGAAATTGTACAGTGAACTACTAACTTCATTACTACTGAATGTTAAATTGTTTGGGACTTTTCTCTCCAAAGGCCCAAACTAAAGAGTTCCTGGGCCCAGTCAAAATAATGACCGTGAATGCAGTCCTCTAAAGTAAAAGAAATGGTAATACTGTAATTTGCAGTAGAGCTCTGTAATCTTTAATTTAATAAAACATAACCCAAATAAAATGTTGGCTAGTTGGAATCATAGAGCATATTGCCTTTTCATCCTGGCTTCTTTCATTTAGCAATATGCATTTAAGGTTTCCCCATGTCTTTTCATGACTGGATAGCTCATTTTTTTATACTGCTGAATAATATTTCATTGTACGGATATACCACAGTTTGTTTATCCATTCACCTCTTGAAGGACATCATGATTGCTTCCAGTCTTTGGTGATTCTATAAACATTTGTTTGCAGGTTTTGCATGCATATAAGATTTTAACTCAGTTGGGTAAATACCTAGGAGTGTGATTGGTGGATTGTAGTGTAAGGCTATGTTTAATTTTGTAAGAAATTGCCAATTTTATCAGGTTTTTGGATTTCAACCATTCTAAGCAACAAGTATGTCCTTGTTGCTTTAATTTACAGTTGCCTAATGGAATATTACATTTACCATCTTTACATGTGGTTATTTGCTATCTATATATTCTTTGGGTAAGGTATTTGTTCAGATCTTTTGCCCATTTTTTAAATTGGGTTGTTTTCTTATTTCTGAGTTTTAAGAGTTCTTAGTATATTTTGCATACCAGACCTTTATCAGATACAAGTTTTGCAAAGATTTTCTCAGTCTTTTATTTTTCTTAATAGTGTCTTTTGCAGAACTGAGGTTTTTAATTTTAAGAATGTCCAATTTATTAGTTTTTTTCATGGGTCATGCTTCTGATTTTCTATCTAAAAACTCATCAAATAAGGTCATCTAGGTTTTCTCCTTATGTTTTAGAAGTTTTATAGTCTGCATTTTAAATTTAGGTCTAAGATCCATTTTTATTTAATTTTTCTTGGAAAGGTGTAAGGTCTAGTCTAGGTTCATCTTTTGTGGATGAATGTCCAAGTCTTCCAGCCCATTTCTTGAGAAGACTATCATTTCTCCATTGAATTACCTTTGCTCCTTTGTCAAAAGTTTAGTTGCTTGTAATTGTGTGGCTTTGTTTCTGGGCTTTCTGTTTTATTGCAGTGTTTAATTTGTCTATTATTTTTCCAATACTGTGCTGTCTTGATTACTGCAGCTTTTTGGTAAGTCTTAAAGTCAGCTAGTGTCTAGCTTTTTTAGAGTTTTCTTTTTGTCTTTGGTTTCAAGCAGTTTTTACCATGATATGCCTCAGTGTGGTCAAGTTTTTGTTTGTTTTAATTTATCCCTTGTTGGGGATTTGTAATATTTTATGAATCAGTGTTTTTTTCTTCTGTAAATGTTGGGAACTTCTCAGATATAATCTCTTTAAATATAGCTTTTATTTCATTCCTTCATCCCTTTCTGACATATACAGTATAATATATTAGACCTTTATATTATATGTTCTGTATCTATTATGTTCTTTTACATATTTTTCATCTCTTTATCATTTTATAGTTTTTTCTAAATGTTTTCTTCTGACCTATCTTCCAATTTATCATTTCTTTGGTTGGTTGTGTTTAACTTGCTTTTAAATCCATCTTTGACTTCTCAATAGTGATTATTGTAATATTTAGTTACACATTTCACTTTCTATTATGGCTTCCAATACTCTCCTGGAATTTTCAATATTAAATGTTATTTCCTTGCACATATCAAAAGGAAAGTCTATGTCTGATGATGCCAAACATGTTTTTGAGTAGTTTGCAAGCAAAGATTGGTTTTTACATTTTTAAAGTGTTTAAAAAAATAGAAGAAGAATCTACAACAGAGATTGTATGTGGCCCACAGAGCATAACACATTTACTGTCTTTTTACTTAAAAATCTACTCACCCATGAAGTAGATTCTATATGGATCTGTTTCTATTGTCATAGTGATAATGTCTTATCTCCTGTATCTGGTTAGTTTTGATGTGGTGTTGGATATTGTACATGAACAATTACAGAGTTAATTTGGGACTGTGTTGATATTAATTTCGTCCAGAGAAGATTAAAAGTTGCTTCTGGTAGGCAAATAAAGACACAATCTTGAATCACCCACATTCAGTGAGAGAATGAGCTAATTCAAAGGTGGTCTTTAGTCTCTCTGAGGGCTGCTTAATTTCTGGTTCTCTCATATTACAGCCCAAACCAAAGCTTGGGGACTTAGCAGAGATCACATTCTTGGTGTGCCCTGAGTAAGGAGTCCATCGAAATCTCTCAACTGCCTCTATTAGAATCTGCTTCTTTTGGAATTGGCAGATGCTTCTGGGATAAAAGCAACTTAAAATGTCACGCTCATCACTGTAGATTTTCATCTCTTCTCTGGTTTTAACTTCCTAATACTTTTTTGCTTTGTTAGTAATCTGTGGCTTTCGTACAGGTTTTGAAATATTTTTTCTAGCTATTCTAGTTCTTAATGATAGGGTTGGCTCAAATTATTTTGATTGTCATTATTGGAAATAAATTCCACTCATATTTACTTATGAATAGTGAAGTGTTTGCTTTTGACTTTTTTTCATGTTTGCTTTTTTAATATTTTTATTTCAGATAGCTTCATTATTTCCCATGTATGTTGTGGGGTACATTGAGCCAAACAAATTTCAGAAGATCATTTATATGAACATGGTAACATTTTTAATATTCATAAGTTAAATATTAAAACAAGATTTCAGGATTTATAAAACAGAACTGACTCTTTTTTGGGGTACCTCCTTGCAAGTAGTATTTAATTAATATGTATGATGTTGATATTATCCAGAAGGAAAGATTACATTATTATATATCTATATCTATAATATTCAGATCTATAATAGTCAGATGTTTTATGTTCTGTGAAACTTTTAAAAATTTTAATGTTTTATTTATTATTGTCACTACTTTTGAAATTGCTTTTTCTCCCCAAGACCTGAGACTTTTAGCACTTTGCATTAATGTGACACTGTAAATTTTATGCTTTTGAATTTTTTAAATCTTGGTTTCCAAACACATACATAGACTTTAGATAAAATAAAACAAAGCTTTGTTAGTGATGGAAATCATCAAGTAGTCCAACAGAAGTAAGATTAGAAAATTAATACTTATGACTAAGTCTTTCTTCTTATTATTGAATCAATAGAAACAATAGTGCTTTTTTTCTGTTTTCTTTATATCAAGTATCAGAGAAATAAGATTAAATTCTGCTGTATATAATTTATGGTGTTGAAAAACTTCGAACTTCTATTATCATTTGGCCAGGATCTATTTATTAATCTTATTTATACATATGAAGTTTATATTAGAAATGACTATGCCTGTAGACAAAGTATGCATTATGCTATATATCTAATAACAATAAAACATGTTTCCTTTCTTCAATTTGCAGGTTTCAGTTCTCCTTTGTTTTGTGTTGATGTTTGGAAATCCAATGTATTTATCTTCTTATTATTCTTCATCTTTGTTAATGACTTTGGTAAGTGTTTGCTAAGCTCATGAAGATTTTTTTTTTTACCTGTCAAATAGTAGGTTTACACATGTAATATAAGTTTAGGAGAATAAATAGTGCCCTTCCCTGATAATTGCTCATGTGAAAAACTTTTCCCCAAATAATGCTTTTTTTTCTCTCTTATCCTTGAAAAATGAATACAATACAAAGTTTATCTCTTTAAAGTAATGTCCAGGTAAATATTTTAAAAAACAATCATAAGATAATAAGACTTACTTTAAAACTATGCCATAATTAATAATAAACATTATTTATTTCCTTCTACATCACTTCAGTATACTAAATAGTTATTGAAATGACATTACCATTTTCCAAAACATTTTTGGAACGTCTCTGAAATGCTTTCACAGACTGTAGCACATTTTTTGAATATCTTCATTGGTGGCAAATCTTCATCTTTCAAGGGTGGATTTAATTTTTGGAAATGACCAAAGTCTTGTGAACAAGGTGGGTGATTAGATCTTGGGTGATCTAGATCTTGATCAAAATATGGTATGACAATAATTAGATTGATTTTCTTGGCCATAACTAAATTATCTCTGAAGGCAGTTTGGAAAGAGGAGTTTCAAACTGTTCTGAGCAATGGCAACATGATTAGAATAATGTATAGTCTCCTCATGTGACTTACTTCCATGGGATAACACTTATTTGGATATGTATTTGGAATGGTGGCTCAGTAAAATTGTTTTATTACTTTATAGTCACACTTCTAATATTCATGAGCCAAAACATGGAGTGTTTTCCTCCACTGGAATGTTTCTGGGATATTCTCTTTCCACTATGATCAGAGATGATATGAACCACAGTAATACCAAAATATGGCACTTTTTCATGTATGGTACATTGATTGACTCTTGAGATTATCCCTATATTTTAACATTTTTCTCCCCAAACCTTTTTTTCTTTGGCCTCATAGTAAGTAATCCCTCCTTTTTCTTTTTCCCCAAAAACATTTTCAACATTTTATCAAACTTTGTTAGCATTACAAAGTAGAGGACTTACAATCATCTACCTCTTTTTATGAAAACATTTTATTTTGAAATATAGCACACATATAGAAAACTGCATAAAACAAATGTTTTGTATACTTAGTACCCTATTACTAGTAAGTACTGATAAATGAATTGTTATTTGACATACATTCTTAAACTACCATCAAGTCAAAATTAGAACTTTTCTAACCATTCTAGAAGCCCTCTATGTGCCCTGCCCCAATTATAAATCGCCTGCACTGGTATAAAGCATAAATAACTATCTAGACTATGGTAATTTCTCCTAGCTTTCCTTTATAGTTTCCTCACTTAAGTTTCTATTTTTATCTATAGATTTCCCATATATCTTCCTGGTGTTATTTCCAAGAAATTTATTTTTTAGGAATTCACGTCATTGAACATGTGAGGGTTCTGTGTTCTACATTTTGCTCTTTGAATCCTCATGGTGTAGCTTTATGTCTTCCTTTGCCTTCTTTATTTATAATACAATTGATCTTTGAACAGTACAGGGAGGGGGTTAGGGACATTACACTCCCATGCTGTTGAAAATCCACTTATAATTTTTGATTCCCCTAAAACGTCTGATAACTAACATTGACAGAAACCTTGTTGATAACACAAAAAATTGATTAACAGTGTATTTTGCATATTATATGTATTATGTACTGTATTCTTAAAGTAAGCGCTAGAGGAAAGAGAATGTTATTAAGGAAATCATAAGGAAGAGAAAATACATTTACAGTACTGTATTTATAAAAAAAAAATCCATGTATAAGTTGATCTATGCAGTTCAAACCCATGTTGTTCAAGGGTCAACTGTATATTAATAATTGGACCTAAAACTTATACAGGTTTGATCCCTTTGGCAAGTCTATAGTATTGTTCTTTCATCAGGAGGCACATAATATCTGGTGCCTCTCTTTTTATGATGGCAGCCATCAGTGCTTAGTGCCAGATCCATTCATTAAATAGGAATTACAAAATGGTGATATATCAATCCTTCACTTACAGTTCATATAGGAAAATAAAGTACATGTCTAAATAAAGAAGTTGGGAGGAGGTAGAAAAATATTTGAAGAAATGATGGCCAAAAATTTTCCAAATTTGATGAAAATTATTAACCAAGATATGAAGACTTTTATTGAATTCCAGTACAAGAAACTGAGAGAAAGCTATAATAAAGCACATTATGATCAAATTGCTCAAAATTAGTGACAAAGAGAAAATCCTAAGAACAGCCAGAGAAATAAGACATATTAAATATTGAACAGAAGGTAAGGTAAGAATTTTTCATAAGAAAAAATTGAAGCAATAATACAGTCAAGCAACATCTTTATAAAGTAGGGGCGCCTGGGTGGCTCAGTCGTTAAGCGTCTGCCTTTGACTCAGGTCATGATCCCAGGGTCCTGGGATCGAGCCCCGCATCGGGCTCCCTGCTCAATGGGAAGCTGCTTCTCCCTCTCCCACTCCCCCTACTTGTGTTCCCTCTCTCACCGTGTCTCTCTCTGTCAAATAAATAAATAAAATCTTAAAAAAAAAAAAATAGGGTGTATCTACAATTCTATACCCAGCAAACATATCTTTCAAAAATGAAGGCAAAATAAAGACTTTATGACCAGCAGATTTTCATTAAAATAAATGTTAAAGGAGGTCCTTCAGCTGGAAGGAATAAAAAATTAGATGTCATTCTGGTTCTACACAAGTGAAGAGCACTGAAAATGAAAGCTAAAGGTAAATATGTAAGGTTTTCCTGCCATTTTTAACAACTTGGATGGCCCTTGAGGGCATAATGCTATGTAAAATAAGAAAGACAAATACTATCTTTCCATTTGTGTCTTTAGTTTCTTTCAGCAGTGTTTTGTAGTTCATTGTTTTAGTCTTTCACCTCTTCAGCTAAGTTTATTCTTAATACTTTATTCTTTTTGAGGCTATTCTAAATGGGAGTGTTAATTTCCTTTTCAGAGTGTTGATTGTTAGTGTGTAGAAATGCAGCATATTTTTGTATGTTGATTTTGTATCCTGTTACTTTACAGAATTTTTTAATTCTAACTGTGTGTGTATAATCTTTAGTGTTTTTACATAGAAGATCACATTATCTGCAAACAGATAATTTTACATCTTCCTTTACAGTTTTTATGTCTTTTATTTTTTTTTCTTGCTTAATTGCTGTAGCTAGGACTTCCAGTGCTATATTGAATAGAAATCATGAAAGTTGGCATCCTTGCCTTGTTCCTCATCTTAGAGTAAAAGCTTATACTTTTTCACCATTTAGTATGATGTTAACTGTGGGATTTTCAAATATGACCCTTATTATATGTTAAGGTAATTTCCCTCTATTCCTAGTTTGTTGAGAGTTTTTATCATGATAGGATGTTGAATTTTATCAAATGCTTTCCTGCTTCTATTGAGATGATCTTGTGATTTTTAATTCCTCATTCTGTTAATGTAGCATGTTACATTAATTGATTTGCGTATGTTGAACCATCCTAGTTGCAAGATAAATCTCACTTAATCATGGTGTATGATCCTTTTAATGTGTGCTGTTAAATCTGGTTTGCTTGTATTTTGTTAAGAATTTTTACATTTATGTTCATCAGGGATATTAGTCTGTAGGTTAGTTTTCTTGTAGTATCCTTGTCTGGCTTTGGTATCAGGGTCATGTTGGCCTCATGAAATATGTTTGGAAATGTTCTCTCCTCCTAAGTTTTTTGGAACACTTTGAGAAGGGGCGACATTAATTTTTCTTTAAATGTCTGGTAGAGTTCACCAGCAAAGCCATCTGGTCCTGGTCCTCTCTTTGTTGGGAGTTTTTTTGATGATTTGTTCAATCTCCTTACTAGTTACAGGTATGGACAGAGTATCTGTTTCTTTATGATTCTGTCTTGGTAGGTTGTATGCTTCTAGGAATGTGTCTCTTTCTTCTATGTAATCCAGTTTTTAGCATCTAGTTGTTCATAAAAGTCTCTTATAATCTATTTTGTTTGGGTTTAGTTGTTTCAGATGGGAGAGTATGTGTGGTTCCTGTTATATTAACTTGACCAGAAGCAGAAATTCCATTCTGATTGATTTTAATAATTTATTTTTGGGGTGAAATATTATGTTTCTAAGAATAAGAAATATACAAAAAGTTATATTTTGAAAACGTCACTCCCTCCCATTTCTTCTTACTCCATTCTCTCTACTTCTTTTTACCTTGGTCCTACCTTTCTTGTAAGATATCTCATTGGTTTTCTGGTTTACCCATTTAGTTGTTTTTTTTTTTTTTTCACTAATAAATATTGCATATTTTTAAAATTATATCTCCTCTTATTTACATGAAAGGTAGCATACTATAGGTAGTTTTCTGTACTTTGGTTTTTCTTTTTTTTTAAGATTTTTTATTTATTTATTTGACAGAGAGAGCACAAGCAGGTGGAGTAGCAGGTAGAGGGAGAAGGAGAAGCAGGCTCCCCACTGAGCAAGGAGCCCAAGGTGGGGCTTGATCCCAGGACCCTGGGATCATGAGCTGAGCCGAAGGCAGTTGCTTAACCAACTGAGCCACCCAGGTGGCCCTGTACTTTGGGTTATCAGCCTATTGTAGATATCTTGTAACAACCTATCCTGGATATCATTCTATATAATTTCATAGAGATCTTCTTCATTCTTTTTATAGTTTCATAATACTGCCCTGTGCATTTTCCATAGGTAATTCAACTACTGTCCAATGTCTGGGCATCTAGGTTGTTTCTATATTTTGTATTTACAGTGTTGCTGTGTATAATCTGGTACATTTATATTTTCCTGTTGCTGGAATTTCAGGAATCCTGGCTCACCTTGAACTAACTAGATGTTGCAAAATTCCACTCAAAATCTAAGTAATACACAGACCTAAGATTTCAGTTTCTCATAGGAAGCTTTTTTTTTTTTTTTTTACCCCAAACTTGAGAACAAACAAATACCTTATCACCTTGTAGCAATGGTAGGAGGAGTATTCCTAGTAATTGAGTGTCTGTCAGTTTGGGCTGCTATAGTAAAAATACTATAGACTGGATAGCTTACACAGAAATTTATTTTTCACAGTTCTAGAGGCTGGGAAGTCCATGATCAGGGTGCCAGCCAATTCGGTCCTTGGTGAAGGCTCTTTTCTTGATTTGCAGACAGATGCCTTCACTATATCCTTACATAGTGGAGAGAGAGACAGCTCTCCCATATCTCTTCTTATAATAGCACAAGTCCCATTCATGAGGGCTCCACCGTCATGGTTTAATTACCTCCCAAAGATTTCACCTTCCCATATGTCACATTGAGGATTAGAGTTTCAACACATAAACATTTGGTGGGGAACATAAACATTTAGTTGATAGCACTGAAGGGTATGGTTTGAGAGGACCCCAGCTTTATGCCTGTCTCAAGTCCACTTTCTTACCTTCCATAGTCCCAAGCCCTTTTCTTCTTTTGATGCAAGCCCATAGTTAAAACTTTATTCTGCAGTTCTCCTTTAAGACTGCCCTAGATTCTCTCCTAATTGTTTCAGTTTTTTAAAGTCATCTGCTTTTCTCTGGCACCTGGAAAATTCATTTTCTTTCTTATAAGTTCACTTAGGCATATTTTAAACATTTTTAAATATTTTATTTAGGAATTCAGAGAGGAAGGGTTTTCATGTTAATTTAGACCACTAATTTTGCTGGGTGACTTACATATACCCTTGCATGCACACACCTCCCACATACCATCTACACCTTCAGAGGAGTGGCCTGCACTAGACATCCCAAGTAACTCCGTGAGGAATTAAGTTGATTCTAGAAGCAACTTTTTGGCACACAAAGCATTTAGCTCTCACTACAAGGAAATTTGCCAGGTCCAAATTTTGAAAAATCAAAAATTAAGAAGGAAAATGGGTGGTTACAGCCAAGATGGAAGCTGGTGACAGTGTAATTTTTGAAATGTATCATTCATATAAAATGTCAATTTTATTTAATTGTTTCATTTTATGTCATGTGCATTTTAGGTGATAATTCTAAAGAGAAATAAAATTCAAAGATTGGGAGTATCTGAACTCAACTTTTGGGTAAGGTTCAACATTTTTAACCATTTCTTCAAACTCTTTATTTCTATAAACTGAATATAGACAATATACTTTAAAAATTGAATGACTATGGCCAATAAATCTTACTAATACCTACTCACATAGGGTGAGAAATAGCCCTTAGCAACATCTACAAGTCATTATCAAGAAATGAGTTCATTTATTTCAGCACTTTGCTCATGCCTCTCTTTACTTTTCATCTTGCTGTACCCTTACTGCCTTGCTTTCTAAATTTTGAGTTTCTCTCTTTGGATTTACTAACCTTCTCTTCAAAATAACTCAGTCTGTAGTCCTGACCCCACTTTCCCTTTTTCTTTTCTCTACATCTGTCATCTATCTGTTCTTCTGCTTCCCACTTTAGACTATTATTTTTTTCTCTGTACCATTTTCCCTACAGTCTCCCAGCCCCTTCTTATTTCATCTCAGCCACTACCTAATCTATTTGACTTCTTCCCAAATATGCAAATGGATGGCCCATGTACCTCTATATTTGTGTGTTTTGTTTCCAAGTTAAATAAGTATATTATTAGGTAGGCACTGCAATTACTAATTCTCGTAATATTGGACAGATGACATGCCTTGTTTTTCTCTTGGTCTTTAATGTAGATGTATACCTGTTAAAAAAATAAAACCTATATTGAAGAGCTATGTGATTACATATGATATATTAATAGGGTAAAACTGAGACGTTATGGTAAGATCAGGTAGATTTCTTTTTTTTTTTTTTAAAGATTTATTTATTTATTTGAGAGAGCGAGAATGAGAGAGAGAGAGAGAGTACATGAGAGGGGGGAGGGTTAGAGGGAGAAGCAGGCTCCTCGCCAAGCAGGGAGCCTGATGCGGGACTCGATCCAGGGACTCCAGGATCATGACCTGAGCTGAAGGCAGTCGCTTAACCAACTGAGCCACCCAGGCGCCCCAGGTAGATTTCTATGCAGAATGCAAAAGAAGGAAATGGACAGAGTTGCCAGTTACTCACTGCTGGAGGCTTTCTCCCATCCCTAATGATGAAAATATAGGGATATTTGGGTACTTGAATTATTAGATGACATGCCCTTCTAATACATGATCTTTTTATGTCAGAAAAATTAGCAATTTTTTTTTAAAAGATTTTATTTATTTATTTGACAGAGAGAGACATAGCAAGAGCAGGAACACAAGCCGGGGGAGCGGGAGAGGGAGAAGCAGGCTTCCTGCAGAGCAGGGAGCCCGATGTGGGACTCGATCCCAGGACCCTGGGATCATGACCTGAGCCGAAGGCAGACGCTTAACGACTGAGCCACCCAGGCGCCCAAAATTAGCCATTTTTAAAGATTAAACCAAGAAATCAATGGAGAATTCAAAGATCTTCATTTAATAACTGAACTCAAAAGAAAGTCAAAATTTCCATTACAAACTATTGAAAAATGGAAACAAATAGAACAGCGTCCATGGACATTTAGGGAATTGTGTCAAAGCTGCACTAAGAAGAAAATTTATTGTCTTAAGTATTTACAATTTAGACTGGAAAGAGTAAAAATCAAGCTTTCCACTCAAGAATTTCAAAGAAAGAAAAATCCAAGCAGAAAAAAGTTGAGATATAATTAATGTTCAGCTTACATTTATATTTTGAAGTTGATATAATTGATATTGTCAGTCTTTTGCAAAAGGGAGAAACAAATCATGTTAGTCATCTAGACAATGCAAAGGATATTTTGCCTTTTTATGGCTTTTTTTTTTTTTTTTCATAAAAGAAAGGAAAAGCAAAGATGTTTTGTGAGCTAACACTTTTTTTTTATAACCCCCTCCGCCAAACCTTTTTTAATCCAAGTAATTCTCTCATGCCTGTGGAATAAAAATTATATTGCGTATCTTACTCTGTATGGTATTTAGAAACCAAAGATCTGAGTGCTGAGTGTTCTCATTGTTACCACTGTGTCCTTGCTTCTAGACCCATACATACAGATACATATACATACATACATCTAAATATTTGTATCATTGAAATTCCATAAGGAGAGGTAAAAGAGCGGGGCTGAAAAAATGTTGAATAAGTAATGGCTGAAGACTTCCCAAATTTGTAAAAGACATAAATCTACAGAGTCAAGAAACTGAGTGAATCCCAAGTAGGATAAACCCAACAAAATCCATACCAGGACACATGATAATTAAATTTCTGAAAACTAAAGACAAAAAAAAAATCTTAAAATCAGGCAGAGAGAAATGATGTGTTACCTATAAGGCAAAACTGATTTGGATTACAGTAACCTTCTCATCTGAAACTGTGGAGCCAGAAGGAGATGGCATAACATTTGTCAAATGCTGAAAGAATTGTCAACCACAAATTACACATCGAGTGAAAGTGTCTTTTAGGGGTAGGGGAAATAAAAGACATTCTCAGATGAAAGAAAACTAAAAAAATTTGTTGCTAGCAGAGCAACCCTTAAAGAATAGTTAATGGAAGTTCTTGAGCAGAAGGTAGATGACCAGAAGAAATCTTAGAACATTAGAAAGAAATAAAAAACAAAATAAAGGATACATAAAGGAGTAAATATAATAAACTCTTCTTGAGTATTTCCTTTCATGTGTTTTCTCTCGGTTTATTTTGTTACTCTTTAGCTAGATGTTTGAATCAAATTTTAACTTATTTTTTCTCTCATTTTTATTCATATGAGTTCTTGAGGCCATGGATTTTCTTCTGATCATTGTTTAAATGACTTTCTTCATTTCTAATACGTACTTTTCATTATCATATTTTTAAAAAATTTGTTTCTCTTTCACTTAAGACATGTTTAATAGAAACTTTGCTAATTTCCAAGAGGAAGGCTTTTTGGTTTTCTGACTTTGTTATTAATTTCTAGTTTTATTACCTCATGATGACAGAGGGTTGTTTGTAATATTTTTAGTTTATGTAACTCCTAGATGCTTTCTCTCTGACCTAGTAGATGATCATTTTTTGGTGAGTATTCTATGTTTGCTTGAGATGAAAGTGTATCCTTTATTAATGGGACATGTTTTGATAAATTTATCAACAAGATTTATTTTTAAATGTTCTGGTCTTTTATAGCTTTATGTATTATTTGCCCACTGACCTATCTTGTATTGAAAAAGTATACTTAAGTCTTTAGGTATTAGTGTGTTTCTATTTCTCCTTGTATGTCTAGTAACTTCTGCTTTATAAAGATGGTTGCAGTGCATAGATGTTCATACTTATTATATTTTCCTCATGAATTGTATCTCTTAATGTCAAAATACGTTTTATATCTAATGTTTGTTGGTGTGAACCTTAGTGATGACAGGATTATAAACTATGACTCCTTATTTGCTTTGGTCACTCTTGTCTTTGTCACCTTTTTAGATCTGTTTCAATACCTCTTCTCTGCACAGCACACAGCAGGTCTTGCTTTGTGAGAATTTAAAGATTTTTATTAATGTCATAAATGTTATGTATATTTTTATTGTATTTACTATTTCTACATATTTCATTACATGGTTCTCTTTTATTTTTAACTTTCTATATTCAGGAAGGTTGTTTCCTCAATTATTTCATACTTGAAACTGGTTTTCTATAATCTTTATACCTGAATGGCAGATGAGCTAGATATAAAGTTCCTGGTTCCCACTTTCTTGAGTGTCTTGAAAATGCTTCTACACCATTGACGTGCTTTTATGTTTCTTTTAACATGTATGATACAAACCAAATTCTCTTGCCCTTCTAAGTTATGTGGCCTTTGTGCCTAGAATTGTTAAGGAATTTTTCTTCATTTTTAAGTTTTACTAGGCTATGTCTTGAGGTAATTTACCATATTGGTCAATTTCCTCAGTACATGGTAAGTTCTTTCCAAATGTAAATTCAGGTCTTTTATGTCTAGGAAGTTTTCTTGGATTGTAGTTTTTCTTTTTCAGGTACTCTAATTATAAATATGTTGCCTGTCTTCTGTTTCTACCACTTTCTCTGATTCTTTAACTACCTTCTTTAATCTCATTTTTATTCTTCTGGGGTTTTTGTTGTTGTTTTGGTTTTCTCCTTTCTTTAATTTCTTTTCTATATTTAATAAGCACTCAATTTTTTTTCTGGTTTTGTCCATTTCTGTTCTTAGTTTTAAAAATTTTTGGTGTTTTTCTAATCTCTGAATGCTTATTTGAGCTTACTTAATTCAACTTTTACTTCTGCATTGTAGGTTTTTTCTGCTTTGTGAGATTTTTATTCATTAGAGCAGGATCATCAGCTGAAATGTTTGACTCTCATTTTTTTAAACTTCTTATAGAAGCTATATTATAGGTATTATAGACATCTTTCATCTAATTATTTTGTGGTTAGAGCAGATGTTTCCTAATCCAGGTGCAACCTCTTTTGTCAATGTAACAAGATGTGGTTTTATCAATTAATAATAATTTCCTTCATCATCTTTTGGTGACAGTAAGTAGTAATTGTTTGTTTTTTGTTTGGTCCTCATTTATTTTTCTGGATACTTAATTTTTCTTTCTTGCTTATTTCCTTTTCTACACATTCTCCTAGAGGGTTTCTCTCTTTTTTCTTTTCTCTTCCTCTCTTTCCAGGAGTAATACCTTTTTGGGATCAGAATTTTTTATACTGAACCCTTGAAGTCCCTGCTCTATAGCCCATTCTCCAATCTTCTCACCCATAAGGTGGACTTTCTTTTTCTGGAGTTATTTCAGCTCAGTTTGGGACCCCTCATTTCCCTCTCCCCTCTTCCACATGGTTTTGAGACTCCCCACATTCTCTACAAAGGCTTAGATCAGGCTTGAGGTTTAACTTTGCTGTATGTGTTGTTTCTTCCTTTTTACAGGTAATTTGAAGTTTGTACCATTACCTGTTTTTTATATTTGTGGTGGATTGTTCTACTTGATGGATAAGTGTGGAGAGATTTGGATTTAGGCCACTATAATTTTTCTCAGGTTATCTAGAAGTTCACATTTATGTTCTTTCTAATCAAGGTTAACCAAAAAAGAAATAAAAGACAAACAGAAGCCCCCATGTAGTTTTAGTTTCTATTTTTCTCTTTAAAATGAAAGCTTAAGTTTTCAGATTTTCCTTTCTTGAAGAGGGATTTATATAATTTTATTTCCAAAAGAGTGGTTGAAGAATTTTTTATAATTTAATTCTACTTTTTGAAAAAAGGACTTTTCAGCTAGGAAATAATATTTGGAAACAAGCATATAGCTCATTTTTTTACAGAAATTGAAAAGAAACAACTTTTAAAAAATTCCTTTAGAATTTGTAGAACTCTAGTGTTGTTATGTATTTTATAACAGTGTCATCTCTTTCAGTTCTTTGCCTTTAAACAAAATTTTCTAAAGGAATATTCTTTTTTAGACTTCATCATTAATATTCTTTACATGATTAAAAATTTCCTATACCATTTGTTGATATAATTGAATATTTTAACTGGGTAATTTTTAATTTTTATATTATAATTTTATTTTCTAGCTGATTCAAGGCTGTGCTTGGTTGTGTGGAACAATTATTTTGAAATTTCTGACATCTAAAATCTTAGGTGTTTCAGATCACGTAAGTACTTTCTAGTTAAAGCATAAAAATTTCTGCAAATATGTAGCTAGATGAAAACTTTGAAACCATCTATTTTTACCTATTTGTTCTATAGAGATTAAGTGCCTTCTTCAGAGTCCTAGGGGTAGTTATTGGCTGAGTCAATAATAAAACTGTGCAGTTCAATGATCTTTTCAACCCACTAAGAAAAAACTATCAATGAATGCTGACTTAGCCATCCAGGAAAAATATTAATAATATCTTAAGTAGTTATATGTTTGTATTTCAGTTAAAATACAAATAGGGGCATCTGGCTGGTTCAGTCAGTAGAGTGTGCGACTCTTGTTGGGGTTGTGGTTTCGAGCCCCATGTTGGGTGTGTAAATTACTTTAAAATCTTAAAAAATATTTATTTGTTTAAAATAATAAGTTATTTATTTATTGCAAATGTTAACATATAAGCAGGCTGTACTCAGCTTTGAAATATAAAACTCACAATCTCAATGTAGTTTTATATATGTATAATTACAGACTAAAATTAAGATGTGACTTGATATTTTTAAAACTTGTAAAAGGAAAATGGGAAATATTAAAAGTTCTCTATCTTTTCATCTTCTGGAAAATATATGGACCTACCCCTCATGTGTGGTGTGTGTTTGTTTTAAAGCCAGTGTCTTACCGAATAGCCTTTGTCTAAGCAGAAGTCCCTACTTAGCTAATCAGTTCAGGGGAACAGAAAACAGTGCAGGAATTTATTTTTGATTCTTGACACTTACTGTTTGGATAGAAGTGCACATGAATGTATCATATAATAACCTACTCTGAAATGTACTTCATATAGGACTATCCAATTAGAACCCTGTCTAATGCTGAAATTTCTTCAACTTTAACAAGGGATTATGATACTCTCTGGAAGGTCAAGTGCTTTCACTCTCCAAGAGAATTGAGCTTACATACATGTTGAGGTTAAATAAAATTTCAAAATGTAAGGATTTATTCACCATTTATTGCTAGCTCTGCATGATGATTGCTTAGGTTTATTTGTTGCTGCTGTTCTCTGGTATGTCTGACACATTTTCCTTTTTTCTTTCCCTTTTCTTAACTTTTCATTCTGTAGGGGCTGTACATTTTACGGTAAACTTTACTGAAGCCTTCTGATTCAATTATTTATCTGTTAATTTGGTCTGTGCTTTTCTTTTCTGCCTTGCTTCACATTGTCACCCAATTGATTACAAATCATACACACACACACATCCCTTTGGTGTACTCTTAAGTGACTTCCTGTATGTAACAGTTGTGAGAAAGACTTGAAATGAAAGTGGTTTGGTTAAATTATTATCAATCATCAGGCCTAGTCCAAATTAGAAAAATAAAGTCTAAATTATCCTTGCTATTGGTAGATAAGGGGAACCATAAATAAATGAAAACCACAGACAGTTGTTACATTTGATACAAAATAATTTTTGTTCCTGCAAAATAATTTGAATTAAGGTTTACATATCAAATATTTTCTTTTTTTGGCCTTCTGAGAATGCAGTGGAAAGATAATTATCTCACTGACATTAGGTAATAAGTATTCAGTAGAAAATACATTGAGTTTGGTTGGTGCTGTTTATTTCAAAGGCCTTGGAGATCAAGTAACTAAACCAAAGTAGTGTGCATAGTTGTTGTAATTCTTATGATGAGTAGCTCTTATGTTTAATGGCTTGAATGTATGTCTGAAAAATTCAACAAGCACCAAAAATTGGAATCAGTGTATGAGGCTTTGTGAAAATGACAACACATAGAAAATTTATTCATGATTTGCAGTGTGTAGTGAAAGGGTTAACATGAGATTGTTTCCTTCTTAATAAATGATGATGATAAAATCTCATGATTAACTGCATGGTGGTTTCTGCCCAGTGAATGTTGATCTTAGCTCACTCTTTATATTATCATCTTTATTTTTTCTGACTTCTTTCTTCTTTTCTTTTGATATTTCTCTTTGTTTTCAGTTTTCTTCATAATTCAGTGCATAGCAATGTATAGTTCACTGATTTTTCTTTAAATTTTCTTTGAGGGGCATCTATGTACCTTGGATTATCTCCTTTGTAGACTTTACTAATATAACAAATCAATTCTTATTGACCATAATTCTTAGTGTAATTTTAATTTGTTTTACTTTATTGTCTTCCCAGATTCGCCTGAGTGACCTTATAGCAGCCAGAATCCTAAGGTATACAGATTTTGATACCTTAATTTACACCTGTGCTCCTGAATTTGACTTCATGGAAAAAGCGGTATGAATATTTTTTTGATTTTTTCCTTCTCTATAGGTATGATGGTTTTTTGTTCTTGAGTTTCCTTTTAATCTGAAACTCACAATTTTTGTTCAGAGACACCCAACTTTATCATTTTTTTTACTATAACTTTTATTAATCATATAGCATTCCTCACCTGTTTTTTTAATGTGTAAAATCAATAAACAGTGACCTGTATCTTAAAGAGTTATTGATGATGATTAAATGAGATAATCCAGGAACAGTGCTGAAAATACTATTTGATCCACAGTGAATTACTATTATTATAATTCAATTACTTTTATTTTTTTTTAAGATTTTTTAATTTATTCACTTGAGAGAACAGAGCAAGCCAGAGCATGAGCGGGGGGCGGGTCAGAGGGAGAGGGAGAAACAGACTCCCACTGATCGTGGAGCACATGTGGGGCTTGATCCCAGGACCCTGGGATCATGACTGGAGCTGAAGGCAGACGCTTAACTAACTGAACCACCCAGGTGCCCCATACAGTTCAATTACTTTTAATAATCTAGGTCACTTAGAGGTATGGGACTGCTCAGGAAAAATAAATCCAAATTCTTGTTTTGGTTTTCAGAAACTTTAGTTTTATTTCACTTAACACTCCAAATATTGTAAAAAATTTTAACAAGATATTGCCAAGAAAGGTATACTACTACTAAGCATACATTATTCTCTTATCTATCCAACCAGTCATACATTCACTCAAAAACTATTATGACTACTATTTATTTATCTGTGTAGGACTGACTACAAAGAGGAAAATGTCTTGGTTCCTGCCTTCAAAAAGTACTTAATTTAGTGACATGGTTAATCACTTCAACCACAATAATGGGTCATGAGAATTATTTAGCTGCTGATGTCATTTTATTGCTTACTCATATTTACAGTAATTACATTGACTGGCTTTCTTCCTTGTTTTTTCTAGCTTCACCAATGAAAATAATGGAATTTTGCAGCCCAGGAAATGATAATATAGGGTCTGGGGATCAGTAAACATAAAATTTAAGAATTAATATTATGTAAATAACAAAGATAAAACCAAAAGAAAGGAAAAAATAATAGACATAACTTATTTTTGGTTTAATGGCTTTTACTGTTAAAATCTTTGGTACATTTGTATAACTTTTTATAATTTTCATTCTTATAGTAGAAGATGAAGGTTGATAAATACATATAATGTTAATGACAAAAACATTTTTACCTTTAAGAAATTTCATTGTGATAGTCAATTTGACATAGATTTTTACTCATTTAATGTAAAATTTAATAACAAATGGCTATTTTGAAATAATTTGCTTTATTTCAGACTCCATTGAGATACACAAAGACATTATTGCTTCCAGTTGTTATGATGATTACTTATTTTATCTTTAAAAAGGTATTTTTAAAATATTTTATCATTTGCTTTTGGGTTCAAGATAAGGACTAAAGTGGATTAATGCTAATAGCTCGGAATTCCATTTTATTTTTAGGATGATCCCATGCTCCCTAAAAAAATTTCTTATTCAGATCTCTCTTTATTTAGTATTACATGGGTTTTTTAGAAAGCCTCATCAGAAAGGATATTCTTATTCTTTCAAAAGAAATTTATTAGTTACCCACTATGTACCATGAACTACATTCACAGTGTTAGTCCACTGGGGCAAATAAAACAGGCCTGCTCCTATCTTGGAACTTACAGTCTCAGTGGGGGTGCAAGGGCATTAAGCAAATGATCACACAAACGACTAAAGAATTAAAATTGTCATAGGTGTTGTGAAAGGAAAACAGCAGTTCGGTATCTTCTAAATATAAAGGACATTCAAGGAAGTCTTGATCCATTTTAAGACATGCACAGGAGAAATCTGTATAGATATTCTTTAAAACATTGTCTATGTATTCATTATTTTCGCAACGAAAGAAAATATTATTATGAGAGAAAGAATAACGTTCTAAAATACCTCTGGCAGGTTTTCTTGGTCTGGGAGTGGTGTATCTGAAAGCCTAGCTAAAGACACTGGGTCTTAGTTTTTAGCATTTTTGAACTATATATTGTTTAAGTCAGTATGTATTTATTTTATACCTTCAAGTAGATAACAATAACATTTCTCTACTACTCTACCAGGTGTGATCCTGTTGAAACTAGTTTTCTTTATTTAAAGTCAAATTGCATATCTTCTCTGTATAGTTCCAGCTCCTACATTTCTCATTCCTGTGTTTGCACATAAAATGTGAATAATTTATGAGTGGGAAAGGCATCTGCCTCTACATCTCTGTGGTTTTTCCCTTGATCCAGTCCCCTAGGGACCACTTGGAAAGAGAACAGAGGTAGTAAGAAGGAATGGGTCAACTACACCCAGTGTCCCCTCGGCTCCACCTAGCTCTCCACTAGCCTCTTTCTATTCCATTATGACAAATGGTGCTATTCTTTAAGGCTCCACTTAGAGGAGCTAATGCAGGAATTAACTCCAGTGGGGAGATAGCGAACATGGGAGAAGGTGATAGCTAGATCTACTATTACTATTTTTTTTTTTAATTAAGATCCACGACTCATAAACATAGTACTAGTCCCCCAAACACACCACAGCTCAAACCATGCATATGCATTAACAGGCATTTTTGTGCATTTGCTGCGTGTGTACACACATGTGTGCACACAGACATGTCCCCATCCCTGCAGCTATTAAAGCTTAACACCTTTCTGTCTCCATATAAACCCCTTCTCTTTATTTGTCTCATTGTGGCTTATTTTTTTTACCTCAAGAATACTTCTGATATTCATTTACTTTTTCACTTGTGTGAAATCGCTTCTGGGAAGAAAGAAGAAAAGCATATTGAATGATTTTTCTGTGAAATTACTGTATCTTAAACTCCTATAAGTGCATATATTCTATTAACTAAACCCCTAAATAGGCTTTTTGCTTGCCTAAGTGATCAGAATCTCATGTGTGTCACTTGAAACATTCATCCATAAAAAATGCTCTTGAATGAATGAGAGAAATTAAAAATTCTAAACTTAGATTTCATTTTAAAATTCAAGTTTTACTATGTATTTTTTCATTGTTTATCTCTAAGTTATAAACCACCTATTGTGCACAGTGTAAAACTTGAAGTTCCCTGTAAATGTTTTACTCTGCCTTTAAGTTGCCTAGGATTGAAGCTAAAGACTCTTTGGCCCAGTTAAGCCCCCACATTCCCCTTCACTCCTCCCTCTGTCCCTCCCTCACCATCATGTGGTACATTGTGGTAAGTGCTCTTTGACCTTCTGTAGGGGTTATTTCTGGCTGAGATAGATCAGGGAAGAAGATATGCCAGAGCTAATTTTATAATAATCAGAAGCTTTAGTGAAGCAGGAATATAAATGGCGTGGGTGGGAGGATGGGGGCGGGTGGGGCGAGGGAGAGTTGGGGGGAAGGAGAGAGAGATTTCTACTTTGCTTGGAAGGTTAAGATAAAATAGTCTCTGAAAGTACATGGAAGAAGCTGCCTCCTTGGTGGAAACCAATTCCCCACTTTCAGCCCACTTCCCTCCCAGTAAAATAGAAACTTCAACTCTAATAAGGAGTTGCCCACATGTAAGAGCTTAGAATTTTAGAGTTGAAATGGACCTTAAAGGTTAAAGAGGGCACGTATTGAATGGAGCACTGGGTGTTATACGCAAACAATGAATCATGGAACACTACATCAAAAACTAATAATGTAATGTATGCTGATTAACATAATAACATAAAAAAAACTGTACAAAAAAAAAGATTTACCCCAATACCCTTTTCTTTCTTTCTTTCTTTCTTTCTTTTTTAATAAAAGAGGAATTTTAGAACTTCAAGAAAATATTTGCCTGAGGCAGAGATGGGATTAAAGTGTTACTGAGGACTCACTTTAACAATAAAAACACTTCTTTCTAGTGAGGGTGTTTATGTTAATGAATCAGAGCATGTTAAATATCACATAATTCCTTAGAAAAGCTTAATTTATTCTATTCACAGGTTTATCGTGATATTTTATATGTCTTATCTGCAAACACTTATCTAAGGTAATTATATCATAATTGTTTTTAAATCATAGTATATTCAGTTAATAAATAACTACTGTAATATCAAATGAATGTGTATTAAACCAGCATTTTGATTAAGAAAAGAGACATGAACCAATCTTAGATGTTCTCTTTAAAAAAAAAGAATGTATTATTCTTAGATATCTCTTTTATGTGTTTGGACTTGTTTTGGAGATATTTCTATTTGAATTAACTCAAAGTTCAAATCAATTTAGTTTAATTTTAATATATGACTAGAATTTAAAGTCCATAAACAGAAGTAAGCTAAAGTTTTGTTTTGGCAATTCTTTTTTTTAACTTTCAGAGAAAATATAATTATTTTTCTGTGTATTCATGAAATAGTTTTTCTGCCATTTTTGTTAAAACCATTTGTTGTATCACATTTTTTTGGTGGTTTAAGTGAAGTCACTAACTTCACTGGCATAAATTATGTGAGAAAAACATGAATCACATATTGCTAGAGGACTTGAGAGATTGTGAAGAAAACTTCCTTATGAGGAAAATCTTAAATTACATTTTATACTTGTAGATACATGATTAAATTTGATGTATTAATGAAGTTTATTTTTTAGGACAGTTTCAGATTTACAGAATAATTGTGAAGATAGTACAGAGAGATTCCATGAGCCCCATACTCCATGCTTATATTTTCAGTAAACAGTTTCATATGGTTGTCAGAAGGGCTTAAATGAACTTTATGGTTGAAATGGTTAAATCTTATTTGTGGAAATCCAAATCAAAGGGCTTAATAGACCCACTCTACTTTGTTCTGGTCAGATGGAGCCCAGAGGAAAATGCCTTGACATTGTAAAAGGAGTGTTTTTAGAGCTCTGAGAATTATTCACATAAGGAATGCATGAAGGCACCTGGGATATTTAACTGAATAATAGAAGATTGAGAAGTACATGCCAGCTGTCTTCAAATATTTGAGAGGGTACAGTGTAGAAGA